AGGGGCAATTATTGTTCAGATGAAGTGCTGGAGTCTGAGTCCATCCAGGAAACAGAGCAGCAATTTAATAAAATACAGTGCAGCCACAAAAACACCAGCACCAGTTAAACTGGATCATTATGCCTGGTGGAGTCTAAATGTTGGCTCCCAGGAGGTAAAGGGACCAGGTGTAGGGTTTATTCAGGCTGTCCCCATCCTAGCATTTTGGTATTTCCTACCCTTGCACCAGAGTTACAGAGAGAGGAGAAGCAAGGAATTAGCAGGACTGTGCAAAAGCTATGGTGAGATTTCCTCCCAAGTGGGCGTATTGGGAGGCAGAAGCTAAGAGAAAAGCCAGCCACACAGAGTGGGGATAATTCCAGCCACCCCTTCGCCCCCAAGCCTGGCTAGTGCCTGGTGTAGGATGTTGGCTCCCCTGAGGCCGAGCTCCTCCGGCTGCTACATGTGCTGCAGCCCTCCGCGGGGTCTGGGACATCACAGCCTGCTGCTGTGAAATTAATACTGCCGAGCATCTGCCTTTGAAAGCTCACAGCAGGGGTTGGAAGCAAAGACCGCAGCTGAGGGAGGAGGAGGAGGAGGAGAGGAGACGGCGTTTGCAATGAAGCAGCACAAATCTACTGGCTAGGACTAAGGAAGCCATGAAAAATCGGGGACTGGAAGCTCATTCAGTCAGACCTATGAGATGGGTCAGCACATCCCACATGTGAGCGTTCCCACGCTGGTGGGAACCCAGCCCAGCTCCACAAAGACCCTAGGGAAAATACCAGCCTGTTCTTCCCGGATCACTAGAGAACTGGAGGGGAGAGCAGGCAGCTCCCAGCCTGAGCAGCAGCGCCTGGCACAGGGCCTGATGTGACCGCAAGGAACAAAATCACCAAGCCCAGCAGGTACCTGCCGAGGAGGCCGTGATAAGTCATGTTCAGATTGCAGAGAAAACTGCATTTGCAATGACTACGTCCACCCCCGAACCAGGCTATGAGTGCTGGGTATCCACATTTCAGACCTAACTTACCCGGAGAGAGTGATACCACAAACCTCCTGCTTCTCCTCTGCCAAGGCGCAGGTGGGATCATGTTCCCAGGAATCTGGGTCCTGTTTAAACCCTTTTCTCTAAGGGGGAGCTTCCCGGGCAGTTCTATCCGCAGAGAACTGCAGAGCCTCTCTTGTTTCAAGCAAAGGATCTATGTTTTGGGTCCAAAAATAACCGGCTCCCAACCATGCATTTTGCAGGGAAGGAATACAGAAGGAGGGAAAGTACTGCAGCTGCTCAAGGGCTTGCTATTTATCAACTCAGAAAAAGCAGGAAAATCCCTGATAAGCAGCATGTATACTACTCTTAGTTTTCTAAAATTTAAGTAAAGGTTTAAAAGCAGCCAGAGAGGAAAGATACTGCTAACACAGTAGTATAAGCACACGTTTCAAGCTGGGCTGCAGGAAGACATTACAGAAGGGGCCAGACTGAGCAGGTTTCTCATACACGTCACGCGCTCTCTCCAAAACCCATCTGCTCCGCGCTGAGCACGCAGGAGGGGGCAGACAGTGCGTGTTTCTGCCCAAAAAAGCTCAGTCTGAAAAGAGTCAAGTGGGGAGTGAGAGAGGCTGAAGGACTGAAAGGAGCAGCAATGCCGGAGGGTGTCGATGTTAGGAAACACAGACAGACAAAGCACTCATTGAAGAGAGATCCGCAGAACTCAAACTCTGCTGTAAGCCACGGAGCCCAACACAGGATGAACTCTGCCTCAGCCTTTATCCTGGAGGATATCTGATCTGATCCAGCTAACCCCGTGGCCAGGGGAGACCCCTGCAATCTCAGTCTCAAATCAGCAGCTGTTCAATTTTTTCGTCTGTTTTGACTTTTACAGCACGGGGAGAAGCACAATAAGGCAGTGTTTAATGCAAGGAGAAAGTGTGTTTCCCACTGACTTTTCTGCCTTCAGCAGATGAGCACTGTCACTTAACGTGCATTTCCCGTGTCTTTGTATTATCCCTAAGAATTTAAAAGTCATTGTTGTAGATGTACAAATCTACACTAAAGGCTATTAGAAAAATACTAAGTCAGAGCATTTTCCTGAGAAGTCCTTGAATAGAAGCACTTCATGGACTGAAAACGCAGCCTGTATTTGCAATGGCTAAGTAATCGCTTTGAGAGATTAGTAAGCGTATTTATTTTGTTCCTATAGAACGGTAGCAAGTGAGAGGAGAGTAATTCATGTTTATTTTGTAACTGTTTGCCTCCAGGCCTGGTGAGCGTTTGAAATCTGCAAGCGGAAGAGAACGCAGGATGTCGGGATCGAACCTTCCTCTGAGACTTCCTTCCACCGACACCAGTTTGCAACTACATAAACATGAGGGAATCTTCATGAGAAAGCTGGCCCACGTGCTAGCTCTCCTCCACAAGCCAAGTGTGAACTGCTGTCCAAAAATGCATCAGCCGTGAACCAGCACTTGGGCTCGGTCCAGGGAGTGAGAAGGATCCAGGAAACTGCACTGACCTACGGTTCAGCTCTACACGCTCTGCGGCAGCCTTGGTCAGCACGTGCAGAGGGCAGAGCCCGGGAAAGGACTGATTCCTCACGGAATAAACGCCCAGGGCTGCTCACCGTCATAGAGGACTCCGTGGACCTTCTATCCAGTGATTTTGCTCGACGGTGCGGAGACAGCGGAGAAGCAGATGCATCCAGGATGGAGCCCACGGCTGCGGCTTCGGAAGTGAAGTCCTGAAGAAAAATGAACGCACATCAGTCCAGTAAATGAGACAGCAAGTCCTTGATCATAACATAAAACCCCACAGAGTTAAGGGGCATTGCTGAAGCTCAGAACAAATGCATTTCAAGCCCATATCTTAGGGCGTCTCAAGGTTTAGCTGGTTCCCAAGACATCCAAGCTGATGCTTACCCGTTTCCTTGGGAAAACCCTCTTCTCGCTCCTGCCTTGCCGCGTATCGCTCGAGAGGGCAGCGCTCGCTGCCGACACGTTGGTTTCCATGTGCTCTGCGTTCTCAATATCTAATGCCTCGAACTTTTCAATGACTTGGGATCGCCTGGAAAACAGAGAGAAAGGGAAAACCAGAGCCGGTTTAAACACAAGCCCAGCAACTGCACCGAACTGCACAACCCCACAAAGCCCAGGCTCTCGGAGCGCGGGGCGCTGACACCTCTGCAGCACCGCTCAGCCCAGCGCCTGTGAACACCCGGCTTTTAGTGCCCGTTTCCTTGCAAGCTCAAGGGTGCACAAACCCAGGAAAAGAACCCACCCCAATCTGACCTGCGGCATTTTAACTGGGGCCAAGAAGAGGGGAAAAAGCAGATCACCCAGCTCCATACGCGCTCCTGTAACTATCTAGGAAGCCCTTGGAAAACCAGCATTTTATGGTCATTTTGAAACAGGGATTTTTAAGCAGCTTTGGCTTCAGTTTTGCCTTTCCTAAGGCTGGAGCTCATGGTCGGCCGCCCCACGGCACAGAAGAGAAGCAAGAGAATGAACTTCATCCTGAAACGCTGTTCTCTAACCCATGGGGAGGCAATGCTGGTGTTTTCAAAGCATTTGGTGGTGTCGAGGGTTGTGTGCCCAGGGGGGTTGGAAAAGCATCAAGCTCTGCTCTCTAAACACAACCTGGGAACATGGATTAACATCCCCCAGCAGCACGGACACCAGCGGAGCATCAAGCTGGGAAGTTAAATCCCGATTTGGAGCTTCCCTAAAAAGTTAAATCCAGATGGGTTCTGGAAACAAAATATGGACCCACACATGCCGCATCCAAAACCAGGGCCGTTTGCCTTATGTGAACCTCTAATGTACAAGGAAATCACAACAGCAACCACAGAAGGGGAAACAGGTTAAACCAAAGCTTTTGTAACATTTCCCAAGAAACCGAACAGCAGGTTAGGACTCAAAAATATGACATGTTTAGTTTTAAACTAACATTTGCACCAAATTCCATAGATAAAGACACACAGTCTGAACATGGGACGTGTCCCGGCCGGGTGGGGGACCCGAGCGCTGCTGCTCGGAGGTGGCTGCAGAACCCCACGCTCAGACCAGCCACTGCGGAGGAAAGGACAGAACTGGGGCTGGAAGAGCTGGATTTGAACATTTAAATCGATCTGATGTTTTTGTGAGATCCATTCTGCTGTGTCCCTGTTTGCAGCCTAGGAGCAGGGAGAGCCCTGTGCTCCCGCAGAGCTCCAGACCCCACTGGGACGTTCTGTTTGCACCAAGAAAACTGCTTGCAGGGGGTAAATCCAAGTCCTTTGGTTTATGGACACACAGGGAACTGGTTCGGAGCCCCCATTTTTTAACCCAGCCATCCCCTTTTAACATGGGCTCAGCTTTCTCTGAATCTCAGTTCAGGAGGGAATAAGAGCTCCGTGAATTAACATTGTGCCCTATTAGGTGAAGGCCGAAAGGAAAACAAACCAGGAAAAAAAAAAACATAAAACAAAATCAAAAGCAGGTTGATTTCTCATGAAAGGGGCTGCGCCACCGGGTTGTTCTACGGCTTGAGATTGAGATGAGATGGTAGCGAAGCAGGCGAAGTAAAGGCGGACACGTCACACAGCAACACAGCAGGAGAAGGTGGAGAGCAACAAGACCTGGAAGAAAACAAGGCTGGAAAATGAATGAACAGAAGAGGAAATTATATATCTGCATCTACATACAAAACAAAATCAAAATCATTCCAGTAATTCGTCACTGAAAAAGGAGGAAAAAAAAAATGATTGCAACCAAATCACAGCCCCAAGGGTTAATATCATTCGGATTACAGGAAAAGAATCGTTTTCCCCCGTGGCTAAACATTTTGGAGAAGTTCCGGCTCGCGGTATCGGGGGACAGGGAGGGGAGGCTTCTCCTTTTGCCCCATGTTCGGGAGGCAGAGCCGGCCCCTTCCGACAGCAGCTCCGTGCGGCCAAAAACCCGGAGCGGGCGGGACGAGGAAGCGTGTGAGAAGCCGCGGTGCCGTTTAGTGCTTCTGAGCTACCAAGCCGGTGCCGAGGAGCATCCCTCCGTGCAGGCGTTAATGTCTTGCAGGCTGCCAGCCCCAAGCTGCAGGTTTCGGCTTTTAGGGAAGAGGGGAACGCGGGAGGAGCAGAGCTGAAAGGACCAAAGAGGGCTATCGGTAAAGCGATTTTCTTTGATTGGAGGAAAGGGCTTATTCCTACCGGATTCATTCGTTCTTTAGCAGTGGGAAGGACAGCGAATGTTGGGAAGAGGAAGAGGAATTTCCCCCGAAGATACACAAAAATGCAGAGGAGAGTTTAAAGGAAAAAGCTATCCCTGGGAGAGCTTCTCTGTAGCCAGCAGGAGAGGGATTCGGAGGGGCCGGATGCGGCTCCCAGGCTCGAAAGCCTCAGGAAGGCATTTGGGAAAGGAAGCTCAGGTAACTCGGCAATTTACCAAGGACAAAAATATGGGCACCCTGACTAAGCTCCTGCAAAGGATCTCTCAAATTCAGCCAGTCTTGGCCAGCAGAGCCCGCGTTCAAGGGGAACCCCCTGTTTTCAGAGGCTGCATGCTTTGTTTTTAAGAAAAGCCCAGCCTGCTGCCCCACAACCGCGAGGAGGGCACGCGTGCACGCCGCCAACACGGGCAATCCCACGTGTCCCCTGCAGCGCCTCCTCGCTCCGCAGCGGCTCCGGAGTCTCGCACACCCCCTCGGATGCAGCGGGACGCATCCCGGGAGGGCAGCGCTGCCCGGACCCGGCTGCCGGGTGCCAGCAGAGGGAACTCGCACACCGCCCGCGCGCCGGGCACGTCACGGCTCCGGGTGGCTCCTCCTCGGGAGCAGCCGCTCTGCTTTCCCACTGCTTCCCATTCCTGCCTGGGAAGGGGCTGAGGGGGCTCGGATGTCTGGCCAGGGCGTGGAGCAGATGTTGGGTGCAAACGAGCACGTCTGCAAGCTCAGCCCTGCACACGGGGCACAGGGGATCTCTTAGGATAACAAAACAGGACAAGAAGCCTGAAAAGCAGCTTTATCTGGAGCTAAGATTACAGGTGTGTTACTCCAGGTGGGACCACTGGATGCTTTATGTAATCTTGTCTGCACCTCTCACACTCACGCACCACTTTATGATTAGCAGAAAATGGGAGGAAGGACTGAAAATACCAAAGGAGTCAAAGCGAGTTAGTCTGGTTGCACTGACGACCAAAAGGCAAAGCTGAACGGTGCCAACCTGGTGTCTCTGGGGTTTGCGTGTGCGCAAATGGCTTGAGGCAAGCGTTCCTGTGCTCGTTAGTAGGTTACCGAGAAGGATTTTTGGAAATGGTGTTAAACCCAGGGGGAGAAGTTGACCCCACAGCATGGAAGCGAGTTATTGTATTTGCTCAACCTCAGAGAGCACAGCCTGAACTTGGAGGAAAAAACCAGAAGGAATATGCGGGCTAAGTAAACTCAAATTTAACAAGCAGCCAAGCCAAGCTGAGCAGGGTGTCAGTGAATGTTAATTCTCTGGTATGAAGCTAAACCGTCTCCCCATTGCTGGCCAAGTCCACCTGAGCAGAGGTCCCCCGGCTGCAGGAAACATAAGTTCTCCTGCCCACGCAACCTGGCTCATCTCAGCACAGGCAAATTCGCCAATTCCTGGAGGAGAAAATGAAGCAGCAAGTCCCTAAATCGAGCAGCTCGTCCTCTGCTGCAATCCTGGGCCAAGCAAGGGACCCCCTTTCCCTGCTGCCTGCCGTGATCCTGCTTTGGAGCGGCTCTTCCCTGCACTGGACGAGGCTCAACCGCGCCGGCAGCAATAGGGGAACTTGCTCGAGCCCCTTTTCAGCCCCAAAGCAGTAGTGATGCCCATTAATCCCAATTGCTCTTTGGAAAAGGCTCAGCGCCAGCCTAACACCTGCCAGCGAAGCAGAGGGTCCCGTAAGACACAGTGTTTGTGGCCACTTTCTCTACCTCCTTCGTCAGCACATCAGAGCCCCCTCGGCAGTTCTGGTACCCCTCAGTTACAGGCCTTTTGGGTCCTCTTTTACTGGTCCCTGACAGATCAGAGCAGGCAACAGCATCTGGGGAAGACGAATGCTGCTCACTGGGTGTCACAACTGAGCCTGGGTTGGTCAGATATTCCCCAAAGCAGGCCCTGAGACAGCACTGCATTTACTGCAAAAGATGGGAAAAGACATTTCCAGCAAGCTCAGAGGTAAACTGGGGGAACAGGAATGCAGGATAAAGACGTGTATCTGCTCTTCTTCCTCGAGTACCATTGCTCAGTTAAAGGCTCTGAGCTGGCATAGAAGAATATTTGCCAATAAGGATGTGTCAACAAAAACCTGTCAAATGGCCTCAGGAGCCCAGCTAGTAAATGGGCAGGAAAAAACAGACTTTTCCCCCAGGAAAAAGGCATCTCCCAGCAGGAAATGAAATGAAGAGGACTGAGTGTGGTAGCAGCTTCCTCCCCCAGGCCCGTTACCTGCAGCTAAATCCCTGCTCCTCTCTGCCCCTCTCGCTGCCCCTGTCTGGCCTGGGGACAAGATCAACCTGTAAATTGTGACTTCTGAAGTCAGTGTCTGCAGCTGGGGTTGCCAGGGGACTCGCGTGGCATTCTCCTCGTCTGGTCCAGAAAGGACTGAATTCCCAAGGCAAAGGGAAAGTCTTTCTGCTCCTTCACCCTTCCCTTGTGCCAAGCGCTAGCCTGGCACTTAATGTGCACATTGCTAGGGCAGGCCTGGGTTAGCTAGACATAAGGATCCTCCTGCCAAGCTACAGCGTCGGCTCGGAGCTGCACTGCGATTCCCAGGACAGCTCCGAGCTTCCAGCAGGAGAAAACATGCCTGGAAAACACTCCTTTAGGGGCTGGGAAGAAACAAACTGGAAGCGCTTGCTGAAATCATGCTAGAGAGAACATGCCCAGAGGAAAACCAGGGCGAGAAATCAGCCTGGCAGATAGCCCTGTCGCCCGGGGCCTGTCTCCTGCTTTGCTCCGCTGTCCTCCCTGCACCAACGCGTCCCTCCCAGGGAAAGCCAAGCGCTGGCGTTCCGTGCGCGCGCGCACGCCGTGCCCTCCCGCGGCACCGCACCGCTCTGCTCCCCCGGATTAAGGCCGTGACATTTTGAAACCTCTCTCAGCTCATTAGGCGGTTGCGTAAGAGCGCCGGCTCCAGCACCGTATAGAGAAGTAACCTAATTAATGGTGCCAGCTGCCTCCGTGTGCTGGAAGGGGCAGGGGAAGGGTGGTCTTGTGGTAGCTGAACGGCACCTGCCAAGCGTCCTGCCTGGTTGCCCTCCAAACAGTCTCAGCAGGGTGGCATTTGCCTCCTGGTGTTACTCAGGCTGCATCGCTGCCCGCCTGGTGCGGCCAGGCCGCCCAGTTACCCTTAAATCGTTACCCTTAAATCCAGGCGTACTGGAAAGCACTGGAGGGCCTAACAATCCGGACTGGCCTCGGGCTCAGTCCTGCTTTGGGCAACTTGATGCTCCTCCACGCAGAGCTGCAGCGGGGAGCAGTGGGCCAAACGCAGGAGATGTCTCAAGCATGCAAGGAAGAGCCCAGCCACTCATCCCTTACCTTCTCTCATGGCCAAAGAGCCGGGCCACTTCTTCTCTCCCAGGGCTACGCGCCCGGGTTCTCCGCTCTAGCCGTTTCCTCTCCACCTGGAAGGCCTCACGATTACTGATCCTAATGGCCTTGGGAACGTCGGCCAGGGTGGTGTACTGCCGGCTGGCTTTAAAAGAAAGGGGACGCCCCGATTTTTCAGCTCCCCTTGCTATATCTCTGCTGTTGGAGTCCTTGTGCATGGGGCAAGTGTTCTTCGAGTCCAAGGAGTTCAGAGAGAAGCTGTGAATCATTCGGTCGCCTGATCGGGTACCTGGGGAAGGAAAGGGCTGGGCATGCTCCTGCGAGGGCGATTTGGGATAACTGTACCTGTTGTTTGGGGTGCTGGGGCTGGGAGGGCTCGGTGGGGGCGGCAACTGCTGTTCTTCCAGCTTCGAGTCTTGCTTGGTCTTCTCCAAGGAAAAGTAACCGCTCTCCACACGGGTCTTCCGCCCACAGTCTATCCGGTCTCCGTTCATGGAGCACTCATCTGAAGGACAGAAAATGCCACAGGTTTGGCTTCAAGTCCAAGTTCTGCCTCTTGGTAAGACACAAACAAACGAAAAACGAACATCCCAATTCCAATATGGAACAGATTAAGGAATGAGAGCAGAGACAAAATGCCTGGACCCCAACTCCAATTTCCACCTTCACTTGGCAGACAGGTGGTCCTGGTGTGGCCTCTCACCTGCAACCAGCTGCAAGGCCCATTCAAAAGGTGAGATGATTTGGGGGACCTGGGGAGCCCAGTCCAACCCTACCAGGAGGCAGTGGGCTTGCTGACCAGCTCCTTGGGCAGCTCCATGTAGCCAAGCACATAGGCACGGGCAGCTTGGAAGAGCAAGTCACCAGCTGGTTGCACTGAGAGTGACAAGGGCAATGACAGCAACAGCAATGATCTGCAGGAACATCGCTAGGAAGCTGCTGCAACGTGCCCACCTGGCTCCCAGACCTGCTCGAGTGCTGCCCCATGGGAAGAAGGCCAAGGCAGGCTTCTCCTCTTCCTCAGCATGGGAAGAGGCAGTCTGTGAGGAGGGACACTGCGCAAGTGGATAGTGGGGCTTTTTTCCAGCATAAAAGAAGGATTTTCTCAAGCCCAGCTGTTCCTGGGTACACGGAAGCTGAGGTGAGCCAGCACGCACCGAGGCACTGCCTGATCACCACAAGTTCAACTGGCTTCCAGGTTGTCCTGTTCCAGAAAAGCGGGAGAGGGGAAGGGGAGTTGGGAGGTGCACTGACAGCTGCAGGAAGCTCGGACCCACCCGAAGCTCTTGGCCCTTCCCGCTAGGAGCACGGCGGGAAGGTGGAGGTTTCCCTGGGACACAGGCACTCTGTGGGGAATGGAAAGCTTCCCATTGCCAGAGCAGACTCCTGCAAGCCAGTCCCGGGAAAAGGGAGCGATGGGTCCTGGAGAAGGAGCTGAGCTGACCCACGGGGACGAGGATGGGACAGAGGACACATCAGGGTGCAGGGCAGCTCTGTGCTGCCTCCCAGGAGGGACCTCACAGCCCCTAAGAGCCGTCACGCTCACGCTGTCTCCCATTAAAAAGCTGCTGAAAGGTGTCAACTCCAGCACTTTTCACTCGCATATATTTTTGCTTCAAGAAAATCAAGCAGATGGGAGATAAGCAGGGAAAACCCACAATTCTCTTTGGGGAAATTGCATACGACTAATTGCCCAACTGTGCCCCAAAGCGCAAAACCCTACGGACCCCAAACCTGCCAACTAAGATCAGGAGAATGGGGGAAAAGCAGCCCCTGAGCTCTCCGCTGGCTCGCAGAGATAAAGGAAACTTACTCCGGGTGTCTCCCCTAAATCCCCTCAGGATTTATCCAGAGGGAAACCAGCCCCGGGCAGGAAAAAAGCCCCAGCCCCTATTGTTTGCCAGAGAACAATGCGGTAGCCCCAGGCGCCTTCCCCGGCCTAATCAGGGAGACCAAATATAAACAGTTCCCCGATGCCGGGACAGGATGAGGAAGCGGCGCGCGGGGCTTGGCAGCGCCGATAACCGGGTGAGCGGCACACGGGCTGCCGGGGCACGGGCAGCGCTCGGGGGGACCTCACAAAAAACCCTTTTCCCCCTGCAGAGCCCGGCCGCAGCGGGCGGACGGAGGCCGGGCAGCCCCGTCTCCTCTCTGCAGCGTTTTCCAGATTTTCCTCTAGGTCTCTGTCCCTCTTTTGGGATGCAATTGAATATTTTAACCAAGGTAACTCACTGGCTGGCTGCTCTCCAGAAGGGTGGCTGGGCACCCTTCTGCATATAGACCTACCTGTGCACGTGGGGCTTGTCTGACCGTGGGGAGCTCAGGGAAGTGAACCAGCAGAGTTTTTCCGTTTTCCCCTCTTTTTGGGGATCTTTTTTGTGCTGGCTCAGCACTCTGCCCCTTACCTTCTTTGCCATCCAGTGTGGGCTCCTTCAGGGAGCCGGCAGCCACTGCCTGGCTCTGCACCGGGCTCTGAGTCGGGCCGAGGCCGCTGCTGCCGTCTGCTTGGTCTTTGCTCCTCATTTCCTCCTGCCAAAGTGTGGACTTGGTGGCAGGGACCTTCTCCGCGCTGGGGATGTTGCTGCTGGTCACGGCCATCTTAGCGGGACCAGGCTCCTAAAGAGAACAGGGGGACAGCAGGGTTAGAGGGGGACGATTGGGGTTTCCTTAGCTAAAGTGACACCCGCCACGCTGGCGGGGAGCGAGGAAACGTCCTTGGCTGTTCCTCCATGGGGAGCACTCCCGAAGCCGCCTGCACCTCCGTCCATCCGTCGGGATGAGGATGCCGAGCACGGCATTCCCAGGAACGCGTCCCGGCAGCTCCCATCCTCTGTGCCTAACTCACACCCTTCCCAGGGCTGCGGACACCGACCTCAGCTGCAAATCCACCCGATTTCAGCCCCGCAGCAGCCTCCAGCACAACCGACCCCGGGCAGTCACCTACCTCCTGCCAGTGGCCACTAGCCCATCTGGCAACGGCCCCACCGGCTTTGCCCAGAGCCCCGGGCATCTCCCCCTTCCCTCCCGCGCTCCCGGCTCAGGGCAGCCTTGGCGAGCGATGCCCCGTGGGGCTGATAAATCCCGGCCTCCCCCTTCCCTCCGAGCTGCTCCCAGGCAGCTGCTGCGTTTAGCAAACACAGACCAAGCCTGGGCCCCTCTCCTGGGTCCCATTTGTCAGGATTGAATTTGCTCGCACTGAACGGCAACGGCAAAAAGGAAAAAAAAAAATCAAGCTAAAGGACATCAGATGGAGAAGAAAATTCATTCCCTGTCACTAGCAGCTGTGCTGTTTGTTTGTCACAACTGGTTTGTTATGGGCCATTGATAAAAAGAAAAAAAATAAACCCAAACAGGGCTATATTCCTCCTGGGTGTTTTGGCTACACAACAGGACATTTGTTTTAGGAAGGAAGCATGATATTGCATCGAGCTTTATGTTATTTTAAAACAATACCCATCACTTTAATGCATCGCTAGCTACGACGGGCTCTGGAATAAATCCGAGCGCGATGCCGCTTTTTGTGGCTGCGTTTGCACCGCGCAGGCTGCTCTTCCAGTTGCTTTAGGGTTTGCTCATGAGCAGCCACTTTGCTGTTGTCATATGAAGTTGCTGCATTAGCAGCAAATTTTCCTTAAAGTCACCAATAAACCAAAGGCAGTTAATGCCCCTCGTTGTGGTCCCCGTGTTGTGGGCAATGTCCCAGTCGCTGGCAACCTTTTGATGGCCAGTGGGCAAATGCAAGCACGAGGGACCCCTCTCCAGAGCAAGCAGTGAACTGACCTCCATTTTTTTAAAAAAAATCCCTTAAAAATATTAAAAATACCATCCTAAGAGAGCAGGATTTTGTAGGCAAATGCTCCACACTTCCTTGCTCTGCATTTCCTCGATCCAAAAGCCAGCACTGGGGTATGCATTTTCGCACACCCCATTTGCACACTCTCAGGTAATTATTTCTAGAGGGGCATTAATCAGACAGAGATGCGGGTCGAGAAGCAATATATAGGCAGAGAAACGAAGTCCTTGCCATTCAGAGTTGGCTCAAAGAAGGGGCTAACGCCAGGTCTGGGAAGCCCGTGTCCCTCTGGAATTGTGATAGGGACATCTGGGCACTCAGAAGTTCCCTGCTTGGCCTGCACGGATTGCGCCCACCCTGACAGCGAGAAACGGGGACAAATGAGCTGGAAACGGCCCCGATTCCCTGGCCCCGGCTTCTGTGGAGAGGGTGAAGGAAGAAGAAACTCCCCAAGAGTGAGGAAAAGGAGAAATACCCTCTTTTTTTTCTCTTCTTTTTGCAAATCACAGAGGCAGCCATCCCTCCCAGCTGCAGGGTGGGAGGGTGGCCGTCTGGAAAGAGGAATGAGGCTTCCTCCGGGGAGAGAGGCCGGAAAGGCAGCCAAGTTCAACAGGAGCCATTTCGCGGAGGCCCGTGCGGTGCCGCTTTTTCCCGGGCGCTCTCCGGCCGTCTCCCGCTGCCCGCGTCCGTGCCGCACCGGCCCGGCGCCCGGGAGGCCGAAAACAAGGGGAAAAAAGGAGCCGTTGCGGTGGGAAAAGCCGCCGCGCGGGGATGCTCCACCGGGGCGGCCGGACCCCGGGCGCGAGCGGCCTCCCCGCGGCCGCTTCCCTTATTTGGTGCTCAGGAGCGCGGATCCTGTACGGTTTCCAAGCAGTTGCCATGGCGATGAAACGTAACCCGCAAGGATGTTTTTCTGGCTCCGGGCCCTTCTCCTCCGCTCCCCCTTCCCTCCCCAGCGGCCCCTCCTGAAGCCAGCCGGTTCCTCACCGTCCCTCCCCGCGTGTCCTGCCTGGCCCCCATGGCCCCCATGGGCTCGGAGGAGATTTTTGACCGGGACAACTCGAACCGTGTCAGGTGTCAGCCAGGAGGTGCCTCCTCGAGCATCACTGGAGCACAGAGCGCTTGAGTGGCGGTCACCAGCCCAAGGCTCTGGCAGGGGGTGGCTCCGAAGGTGACAGTGCAACCTGCTGGATGATTCTCTTCCCCATTTTTATCCCTGTTGCTCAGAAGCTCTTAGCGCAGCTAACTTGATTCGAGTGACACTAAGCAAAACCCTCCTCGCACCCGCACTGCCCGGAGGGCTTCGCCATGGAGGAATCCAGGGAAACCCAACAGCTGCTCCCAAGTAGAGAGCAGGGGAGGCCGGAGCTGCTTCCCGACGGTCGGCGCGGGCCGGATGAGCTCTCCCAGGCGGCCCCTCGGAGCGGCAGGACGCGCGCGCGGAGGTCAGGCCGCTCCGGGGACGCGGCCGGCCACGTGGGAGCCTGGCAGGAATGAGTGAGTCACGGCCGGCCCCGGTTTTTACCATTTATAGTCACAGCGAGCGCGAAGCCCTCGCCACGTCCCCAGAGAGCGCGGCTCCGCTCCCGAAGCTCCCAGCCCGGCCCCGGCCTTTAGCATTTTCCTTTCATTCCCATTATCTCCAGGGTCATCTCCGACCGGGTAAGCGGAGCCCTATGGAATTTCAGCATGTTTCTGCCTAAAAGGCCCACGAACAGCCAGGATCCCTTGCCCGACGTGTGCCATACGCGCCCCATGTCCCCGGGAGAGCCACGTTACGGCACTGATGCCATTTTGCACAGGGGACAGAGGACAGCACAGGGCTCCGTTACGTGTCCCGCTTGCACTTCTCTGGCCACACAACTTCACCACCAGCTTCAGCACCCTGCCTGAGAACCCCATCCCAGACAGCCTGCCCGGAGGGAATGGGATTAGATGGAAAGGGCGACCCGGCAAGAGCCGTCCCCACCGCGAGCGACTCCAGGAGAGCCCGGATGGAAAGGGTGAGCAGAGGGTTTCAGTGCTGCTGCTGCAGGACTTGCAGACCAGCCAGGATAGCACGTGCATCTGCAAAGTGTGGGAAGGAGCAGCACGTGACCCTGGGAAGTGACATCCAGAAATGAGGTCACTCCATCCTTGCTATCCGGGCTCTCTCCCCTGCTTTCAGCCTCTGCAAAGGCAGCCAGCAGCCCACGTTTCGTGTCAGCCTGGCTCGTGGTGGGGCAGATCTTCCCTGGGGAGAGAGCAAGGCCATGGCTTGAGAGGCAGACAAACTGTTCCCCTTTGGGGCCACAAGGGACCAGGCCATGGTGTCACCACCTGCGCTTACCTGAGGAGTTGGGGGCTCGACCTTCCTCTTCTTCTTCTGATTCTGCTTGTTGGTCCTCGGATAGACTATCAACATCTCCAGCCACCTGCAAGCAAAGAAGAGCAGAAGGTGAGCTCTGTGCTGAGGAACAGCGAAGGCGACAGGCAGCGAGGGGTGAGGGATGCTCAGGCATGGGGGCTGGACACTGCTCCTGGATGCTGATCCCAGAGCTACTTCCCTTGTAGAGCAGGGACTCCTCTGGCAACACCATCCGGATGCATCCTCGTTCCTCCTTCACACACCAGCAGAGCTCTCGGCTGCCTTCCAGAGACGGAGCTGGTGTTGTGTGGCATTTGGGAGGCATCGGCATTTCCATTACCAACCACGTTTTTCAGGAGGGTGTAAGTTGGCCATAAAAATTCCCCCGAGCTGGAACTTGGCTTGCAAAACTCAACCTCTCCAAGATGGTCAACATGGTAAAAAGCACCCAGAAGTTGTCCCAACACTCAGCACCCACTCAGGGGAGAAACAACCTCTGAGGAAGGACAGGAGGGACAGAGGACAACTCCAAGGCAACCCCAAGATTGCTTTGACTAACACTGTTTGCTCCAAGAGAGAGGAAGTGGCCAAGGGTGACAAGGGACAGGAATTAAAGGATACCGAAAGGCAGCAGGGAGCTCATCAACAGCATCCTCTTGGAGTAGGCAGGACCTCCTCTTTTCAGAGATGTTAACACCAACGTGTTGGACACGATGCATTTTTGTCTAAGAAAGGGCAGGGTAAACTTGGCACTCAGAAGTCCAGCCCTCGTACAAGTAATTTGTTTGGGGGATTCTCCTACCCTTTGCCCCCACGGCCTGAGGAGCTGCCCGCTTGTCTGTTAACTCCATGAGGATCCATGGAATGATGGAAGTTTTTCATGCTTTGCTCTCCTATTCCCCTCACTTTGCATGCTGCTCTTGCAAAGAGTTCTGAGATGACCAATCGAGCGGGCTTCAGTTAAGCAATAAATGCCAGAAACCTACGACGAGCGTAAAACAAATTCTCCCCGAGCCGGCAAAATCTTCCTGTCGTGCCGCAACTGCAAATGAAACTCGTCTGGCTCGGAACCAGAACGGGGCTTTTTCAGGGTGATTAATGCTTGCAGCCAGAAGCAAACACGCTCCTTCCAAATACGACGCTGGGCCAGTGAGCAATAAATCAGCCCCACCTTGCTCTGCAATGTCTCTCCCTCTTGGCACTGCTAGCAGGATCCAGGAACAAAAGACTGGACTGTGTTCGGGAGCACGGGGGAGAGGGAAAAGCAGAGCAGGGCACGGAGTTTGGCCCTGTTTTGGGGCGTAACAGAGCACAAAGAGGAGCCTGAGGACAGGGATGAAGGGAAGCGGCAGCGCGAGGTCAGGGGAGCAGAGCTCAGCAAGAGGCCGTGGGAGGCTGCGGATTCTCCGGGAAGGGAAAACAGGAACCTCCCGCAGAGCAGAGAGGAGCCCAACAGCCAGAGCGGGACGAGCCCTGGGCCATGGCTCTGCTCCCCTTGCCCAAGGGCAACCTCCCCTCAGGAGGGGCATCAGCAGGGGCCCAAGCCCATGAAAAAGAAGGGAGTCATGCGCTCGGCGTTCGGCTCCGGAAGGACAGGTCTGCCCGGCCGGTGGGATCGCCTGCAGCCGGGATTCTCTGTAGATCATTGAACATCACAGGGAAGTTCTAATACGTGAAAAGGAAGCATGCGAGCCAATTCCCAAGCTCTCTGCAGGAAAATGCCTATTTCAGCTAGTGTTTACTGAAAGGAGAGAGTCACAACCAAAGGCAACGCTCGGAAACATAAATCATGCCAAAAGGAAGCGCAGAATTCTTTCACTGCAAGGCTTGGAAGAGAGGAGGAGGAGACGGCCTGTTTCTGAGAGATCAGGAAAGGTGTTTCAAGCCCTAAGCTTTCTGCTCCAGTTTCAAATGCCAGCTAATTTTGGTTTCAAGATTCCACTTGGGGATGGAATCTTCCACTGAGATTCCCCTTGGGATGAAATCCCTGCTCCCCAGCCTGTCCTTTCGCTCTGCCTGTAGCTGGAGAGCAGCCTGGGACGAACGTGCCGGCTCCTGCCTGCAGCAAGGCAGGGCCGTGATCCACGGGGAGCCGTGTGGGAAGCACTCGCAGTGAACAGCGGCAGCATCACCGTCCTTTGGGCCGTGCCAAGGAACGCCCTCCGCACCTCTGCGTTCGGCCCGAGTCCAGGTCAGCCCGAGATCAAGGGACAAGGATGTTTCTAGGTCGCCAGCCAGCACCTGGAGCTGGGAAATCTCCTGGGATTTGCTCTCTCGAGTGGCTTAATCTTGGGTGTTGCTGAGCAACCGCATCCCTGGGGCAGGCGCTCATACGAGGGATGATATTTTAATCTTCCTCTAAGGTCAGATGCTCAGTTGCGACCCGGGGGTGCTGGGCTGTAACCAGACCCCATGATTTTCCCTCTCTGCAGACAGCAGGCAGGGAATGGACAGGCCCTGCCAAGACAAGACTGCTGCAAGGACAGGAATAAAAACAGCAAACAGAGCCCCGAGGGGCTCTCTGATGTTGGGACCATCTCTGATGTTGGGAACAGGGGGTGGCTCAGGGGCCCCAGGGAGGCCGACACCAACTCCAAGGACACGGACGCGTCGAACCTGCCAAGCTGCAAAGCAGCCCCAGGAACCTGCACGATGGGATCCTGCGGTGAAAGCAGCAGCGACCGCAGGAGTCATCCTGGCCCAGCCACCATCCAACCCAGCCCCGTGTCCACCCCGCAGCTCAGCCTCTTCCCTTGGCTAGGAAATAGCTCCTTTTTCTCCCTGTTAGGACCAAAGCCGCCAAGGGCGGCCCAGGAGCATCTCGGCATCAGACGCGCTCAGCCCACACTCAACAAACTCCGGGGTAATTCTGCTCTCTCCCGCAGCGAACGCCGCTGTTGCTCTGCAGCAGCAAGCAGGATATTGCCCAATGGCAGACAACAAAACTGACCCCAAAGTGGTAGCTTCGTAAGTAACTAGTGACTCAAGAGCATCGCGGCCCTGGGGCGCAGCCAAGGCTCCTAGAAGAGGCCGAGCTTCCTGAATCGCTGGCTCTATAAGGTGTCTGGCACGTTGGGAAGACGCAGGCTCCAGCCTGGCAGGCCCGGCTGAGCACACGCACTAAGCACCGAGGAAGGGCTTGAATCATCCGCCACTGCACGGGTCTCTGCTCATGTTCACACCATAAATCTGGCAGCTCTGGGGGGTTGCACAGGCTCCTGCTGTCCTGCGGAGCACCAGGTGACTGCAGGGGCCCAGGGGGAGCAGAGAAGGGAAAAGAAAACCTGTCCTTGCCAGAAAGGAGGAGCAGAGCGAGGCTGACCGTGAGGAAGCGATTACAGCGAGCCCTCAGGATCGCCCTCGTAGCAGGCAGCTGCCAACACGTTTGAAGCAGAATCTCTTCACGCCTTCCAGCTCCTTCCTCGGGGAGCGTGTCCGTGCCCGACCTGTCCAGATGTGCAGCGCGCTCTGCCAGGCGGCTCCACGCTCCCTGCTGGAATTGGCCGCCGGGACTGTTTTGGTTGCCACTGCCAAAGCGCGCGATGGAGATAAAAGGTGAGCTTGGTGCAGAGCCCTGCAGGGGCCCCGTGCTGCTTCCTGCACAGCCCTGGCACCAGCGGGCACGGACACAGAGTCCTGCTCCCTCCAGGACAAACCTGGGGAGGTGCAAAAACACTCCGGGTGGTTGCAGGGGCCGCTCACGTGTGGATCCATCTCAGCATGGAGTGGCACAGCCGTGCTTGGACACGGCGTTACCACCTCACCCTCCTCTTCCTCCCCGCTGCACAGGGAGCCCCGAGGGCGGCTCGGCCCGGATCTCCACTCACCCGCTGATGATCTCCTTGTTCTCTGCACGGATGAAGTGCTCCTTCTCCGGGGTCAGGATGCACAAGGAGAATTTCTGCCCCGTGCGACTCTCTCCATCCACCACATCCGTGCACTGGTTCATGTTGATGGTGCCCTGCGGGAGCGTTGTCGGCTGGAAGGGAAAGGAGAAAGGAAGGACATTTAAGCAGGGAAGAG